TTTTTACCACTGTTGTAGCTTGATTGCATCTGATTTTAACATACTGGTCTTCTTTTCTTACCCTATCTTCCATTTTGGTGGTGCACAGTTTAGTTTTTTTTCTTGTTCATTGATTGCTTTTGTATCCAAGGTCTTCATTTACAACTGCAGCTCTGTTGTACATTAGTTGATTTGTTCTTGCAGTGAGCTTGTGCTTATATTTAATATTACAATATTGGCATCTTTTAATATTTTGGCTAGCTGGTTTTTTGTTTGTTTATTCATTTTTATTGAAAGCAGAATACTTCATTCTATTATTTTTGTGCTGTTCTAGATGCTCAGTTATTCTTCATTTCAGTTCCTCCTGTTTTTCAATTACAAGACTGTTCTTTCTGAAGAAAAGATAGAGAAGAAGGTACTGGGTTTGGGGACTGAGAATGGTTCATTAGCGATGCTGGCTTTCTCTATTACTAACTCCTTCTGGTTTTTCTCTTCTGTCTGAACTACTTCTGGCAAGACTTTGAAGTTTTTTTTACCTTGGGTAGAACTTTGCAGTTCTTCTAATTCTATTTCTGTAAATACTTTATTTCATATTACACAACGATATTGATATGCTAGTCTCTGCCCTGTTATTACTGATTCTGGATATTGTTCTTTCTAGAACTGGTGCATTCTTTTCGAATATCCCCTTCTCACTAGTCTTGATTTGTAACAGCAAATCATTATTTCTTTGTTTTCAGTCTTTGTATGTTGTGACGAGTAAGCAACTCTTCTTCAATTTGTCCTGAAGCTGCAGTTGTTGATCCTGATTGCTCAGCTAACAGTCCTGATTTCTATAGTCTTCATGTCACCTAGATGTCAAGAACTCCAACACTGACCACAGTCCTTGTTGACCCAAGTGAGGACTGATTTAGTATAAGTTTCTGTAAGTTGTAATCCATATTGTTTACAGGAAAGACATATTTCATCTGGACCCTCTGAATCTCTGGCATAGCTCTCATCTTCCTCAGAGTAAGGCAGAGGTGATATTCAGTAGGTTCTGACCAGTTCTGGAGAACTGGTAGCAGAAATTTTGAGTAGTTCGGAGAATCAGTAAATACCACCTCTGACTGGCCCCGCCCCCATCTATTCTCTACCTCCCAAGTCCCAGCTGATTGGGAGGAAATAGGGATTTTGCAGTAACCTTCCCCTGGAGTGGGGAGGGGTATCCTTCCCCTGGAGTGCAGTGTGAATGGAGATTTTACAGTATCCTTCCCTTGCCATGCCCATCAAGCCACACCCACCAAGCCACACTCACAGAACTGGTAGTAAAAAAAAAATTATTCCACCATTGAGGCAAGGCCCACAACTATGTGCTTCACTGGAGGATTATTATTATTTTTAATTCCATTCTTTTTTACCCCACACTTGTATATCTATAACTCAAGGCAGCAAACATACCTACTCCTGCCTACTATTTTCCAACAACAACTCTGGGAAGTGGGCTGGGCTGAGAGAGAGTGATAACCCAGTCACTCAGCTGGCTTTCATATTTAAGGGAGGCCTAGAATGCAATCCTCTGCTTTATAGGCCCAAACCTTAATCATTATATGTATGCTATTTAGTAAGATTATTTTTTTTTAAAGGTGGAGGAGATGACTGTTTGGATGTCTGTTTGAAATGTTCATCAAACGCTAATTTTGTTAAAAGGCAAATGATGAGAATTGACTGAAGAAAAATGTGGTCCAAGTTGAAAAATATCATCTCAATAAATAAAATCAATATTGTAAAATTTACCTGTGATAATATTTTGATGGGAAAAAAAACCCTTCAAATAGCAATTAAGCAATCTGTTTTCACCCAATAGTTTTTAAAAAAATATAATTGTCTAATTCTTTTTCTGAAAGACATATTTCCAAGATCAATTGAACATAAATGTGTGAATCTTCGACCCCTTCCCCTTACACTGGGAAAATGCCCTTAGTACAAATAGTTTTGAGGACTCCAGTATAGGGTAACAATTTGTATAACATCTCTTCCAGCCCTTTTATGATAAATTATGTAGTACAGGTAGTTCTCGACTTGGGTGTTTGGCAACTGGCATGTACCGTATTTAAGACAGTTGAAGTGTCCTGGAGTCATGTGATCACCATTTGTGACCTCCCCAGCTGGCTTCCAATGAGCAAAATCAATGGGAGAAGGCCAGATTTGTCTATTGACTGCCTGATTCACTTAACTGCAGTGATTTCCTTAACACGTATCACAATACAGTTTGTAAAATAGGGTGTGATACACTTGACAACTGCCTTGCAATGGAAATTCTGGTCCTAATTGTGGTCATAAATCGAGGATTATCTACAAGTATAAATAATAGCAGGGCAAACTGATAATGTGCTACTACTCCAATTTATATAAGTTAAAAAATCAAATTCTCCAAAATATAGAAAAAGAAAAAAATCTTATTGTCAACCACTTGACAGAATGACAGAATTAAGACTAAAAGCCAGAATGCTGTTAATAAGTAATAAATATTGGTTTGGAATTAAAACTTACCTTCCTTTAACTGCAGTAGTCATTTTCATGAAAGAAATAATTTGTACACAAAAGCTATTAAACAGAATAATAATCATAAGTTTGGATTTCACTTGCCTTTCCTTATTTTATAGATTTGAGAGTTAGAAAAAATAAGTGCATGCCTGCAAAAGGTCAGCTGAATATTTAAAGGATATTTAAATCTAAAATATTTTCTACTGAAGTGTGATTGTATGATGACAATCTTTCACCTGTTTAATGATGTAATTATGGAAAGTACATCTTAGACCCAAACATAAAACCTGATGTATTGTTGTTATAGTTCTTTTTGTAAGCTTAAAGTACAGGACATGTGATTTATGGTAAAGTGAAACTATCTTGTTCATTCTTGTGATGAGAAACAGGAAAGAAGTTTCTGTTTCGAAAAAATCCTTGTCCATCCGGTTCTTTTTCTTTCTTGTGAAGCCAAATGACAGAAGAGTCTGAAGTCCACATTTCAGCCACCCTAGGCAGCGAGCTCTTAATAATCTACTATAATCAATTGTAAATGTTTTTTGTTGCAATATGTTATACCATCATTTGTCCACCATTTCATTTCCCAACCTGAAAAATAGCTTGAGAGACAAAAGTAGGAAGGAGATTAAAAAAAGAGTTAAAGATGGTGGCCAATCGCACAATTGAAGCCCCACCCCTTTTTTGCCCAAGTCACATATAAAAAAGGACAGGACTTAATCACATGGTTTTAGCAGCCCTATTGATTTTTTTAAAGCCACCCCCTGCAGATACCCCTAGTTAAAAACAACTGGACATTCCTTTAGCTTTGTTTTTTGTGGTAGCATTCATTGTATGACTAATGGTTGTGATTTCATAGGATATTAATATTTCAGCAATTTTTATAATGTGATGCGGCTTTGTGGTGCAGTATCCAATTCTCTGAAAATTCAAAATATCCCTCCATCAATGAACTTAAGTTATATATATGTGTGTGTGTGTGTGTGTGTGTGTGTGTGTGTGTGTGTGTGTGTTATATTTGTGCTGATAAATAAATAAAGGGAGACTAGTATAGATCTATTTCAAGCTATTTAGCTCTCATCAGCTAGCCACACCCTTACTGGGATGCTTCCTCCCATAATTGGGGCTTACCAGGGGTTGTGACACTAAATATACATACATACATACATACATACATACATACATACATACATACATACATACATACATACATATGTTTGTGTGAATAACTATATCCCTCCTTCCCATAATAAGATCACAGATTTAATGTAAAAAGCTTTAGAAAAGAAAATGAACATAAATTTTGAAAAATTGTGTGTTTTTTTTCATCTAACTCTTTATTTGCAATTTTAAAAAATCATTATTTTTATATATTTCTAATAAAAAGGAAAGCAATTATCTGGAGAAACTATCAAGAACAGTATTCACAATTTATTGATGTGGTATTTGTTTGGGCACTGAAGTCTCAAACTAAATCTGCCTTTCCAGAATGGACACATTCTTTGAGATGGCACTTTCCCATTTCTATATCCAATGCTATATATCCACGCATCCATTCAAGCCATTTTTGGCATCTTGGCCCTGCCTTAGTTTGAAAGACAAAGTAGTTCAGATAAATGTGTCCAAAAAGCAATCCAAAAGTCAAGCACAATAGTTTGTACTGTAGAAAAAACAAATTAATCAGGTCAGAACCCAAGGGATAGTCAGGGCACAGGAAGCACAATGCAGAATTATAGAAATCCTGTGAGCCAGAATTAACTGGCAGGGAGCCAAATTATAAGCAACAGATCATACTTTAGTACTAGACTGCTACAGTCTTACTAGGTCTCAACTATGAGATTTGGAAACTACATTAGAGGAACTCTTCTCTAAAGTTACAATTTCTGTGTCTATTCCCCCTTGATGACTCTAAAGCATCTGCATTCCTTAGCTCCGTGTCATAATTTATCTGGATATCAATTTGTCTGAAACTTAACATGTATTCTTACTTTTTGTCTTGTGATTTTTTTACACTTTTAATAATGACTCTTTTTATATGTTTACTGTTTTACTAAGTGCTGTACACTGCCCAGCATCACTTTTCGTGAAATGGGCAGCCTTATATATTTGATATATAACTAAAATAAAGACATCAAAAATTGTGGAGTTTGTGTGGGTTGACTCTGTATTCTGGTGTCCACATTTCTGCTATGGAATTGGAATATATTATGCAGAAAAGTGGTGTTTTCTTTCTTCCAATGTTTGCTAATATTCCCTATTGCCATTATAAAACCATTGGAAATGCAATAACATTGTGCAGGCTAGAAATCATATTTTCTACATGCATATGCCTGCTCAATTATATGCATAATACCTCTAAGATTGTGTGCATTTGGGAGGTTGATATTCCTTTAAGAACCTCAACAGGTGGATGGATGTGCAGGGCTGGAGTTAAGAGGAGGTCTTTAAATACTTTCAGTTCTTAGGAAATTCAGTATTGCACCAGCAGTACTTAATCCAGGGACAAAGAACTATAAAGAGAGAAGTGTTTAAAAAAAAACATAGTAGGAGAATTGAAAAAGGAAGTTCTGGATCAGTAACTTAGTCTGCTCAGCTAAACCTGGACAGTGAGTAATGATTTTTTACTATTCCATACCTGAAATTATATAGATGGGTATAATAATGGTCCTAAAAAAGCAACAACAAAATCCCAAATTAGAATATAAAACAGATTTTTAAGAAGTGCTAAAGACTTAGATATCATACTCAACTAATTTCTATCAGCTTGTATGTACTGTATATTAAAATATTTAACAGTGTTCAATTATCAATCTAATTATTTTTGATGTTTTGTATATATGCAGAAGAAAAAAATATGAGGGAGTAGCGACTCACCAAGTGTAGAGGAATTTTCATGCAAGTATTTACATACATTTCAACTACTTTCTTGAGGTAAGCCTACAAGGAGTTCACTTCTAGTAGCTCCATTTAGGATTTCAGCCTAAATGAATAAATAAACTTGTGTTTAAACAATATTTGCCTCATTGGTCCGATAGAGATTCTTATACAAACTTAATATGTTTAGCATTTATTATTTTGTCACAATCTGAAACGCATCTGAAGAGGCCTAAAATATCACTCATTCTCATATCACTGTTCTGTAGACTTACACTGGCGTGGTTGAAGTGGTTCCTGCTATAGCCGTAACACATGAGTCAGCAAGTAACTTTCCAAATGTTATTGGACTGCAGTTCCTGTAATATTTTATTTAGGATGCTATTCACTAGATCTGTTAAGAACCGGGGATCAATGTATCGGGAGGGTCATAAATCAATTCCTAAGTGCACATTTTGAAGCTCAGGTTGCCATGCAGCTAACAAAGGGTTTGGATATTTGCTCAAATTCTGGACGTACATAACAGATTATTTTGTTTTACCCATATGTTTTTAATGTGCATTAAAGGCATGTTTCAATTGTACTGCAATGGGATCTACATAACTACAAGTGGATTAAAATCAATTCAGTATTTTAGTTTTTGTCCTATTCCTCTTACAGCGAGGTCTCCAGTATACCATTCAGATGTTGACAAGAGCTTCAGGAGCAAGCACTGTGAATCTTTCATTAACTAAGTTCTGTAGTAATTTACCACAAGTCTTAGGTTGCTTAAACTGAAAAACTGTGCCTAAAGATTTATTGGAAGCCCTTTGGAATTCCTCTGAAGTAATTTTGTTCAAGCTGGAAATTCCAAATGCCATTAAGTTTACAATGTAAGTGGAATGCAATAGAAATGTACAGTTGCAGGAAATTTAACAAGTTCTACACATTTATTTTGCATACTTCCTATTGTTTTGTGCCAAAACTAAAATCTAAAACTAGATCCAAAAGCAATCCTAAAGTCAAGCATAATTGTTCATATGTAACCAGGTCAGAACATGAGCCACGGCTATGGGACATGAATCACAATGCAGAACTATAGTAGTTATAAGAATCAGAACTAAAGAGGCAGTAAGACAAATTATAAACAACAAATCATACTTTATTGCTGTAATCTCACTGTACCTCAGCTATGAGACTTGGAAGTGACATTTGATGAGCTCTTCTCTAAAATCTAGCCTTTCTCTGTGTATTACCCATTGATGACCTCCTGATCATCCCTTCTGGATATAGAATCATAATGCTGGAAAAGCTCTTGGAGGTTTTCTACTTTAATTTCATTGCCCAAAGCTGGAGTCCTTATACCATCTTGGACAAATGGTCCAATATTTGTTTTGAAAACTTTGATGGATGCGATGGGCACCCAAAACTCTGGGAGGAAAGCTGTTCCATTGATTAATCATTTTCATTCTCAGAAAATTCCTTGTCATTTCTAGATTGGATCTCCCTCTGATGAGCTTTCACCCATTGTTTGTTGTCCTGCTTTGAAGAATAAATAAACAAACAAACAAATAAATAAATACTTGTATAAGCAGACCAACACTGGTCTTGCTGAAACTTAATTTTGTTTCTGGAAGGAAACTAGATTATATGGCCATAACTGGCACTAAATCAAACAGCTTGATGTTATTCAAGCTCCTGATTCGTCATTTCTTGATTTATAATACATTCTCATATACTAGCAAAACAAGAGCAGCAAGAAGTTTTGGTTTAAATAGAGTTGGAATTGCAATACAAATTTCATCTGATGAAACATCAACCCAGTTCACAAATAAGGTGCCTCCTAATAATTCTGCTGAATAAGAAGACCCTGGAGTCTTCTCCTGCCTTGATTCTGGTATCCACATTTGTTTTATAGAATTGGTAAGTTGTGCTATCTTTCTCTCTTTGTTAACTAATATTCCTCATTGCCAGTAAGACGTCATTGATAGTGCATTAACAAATAAGCTGTAGATCACAGTATAATAGCATTGTGCAGGCTACAAAAATAGTATAACAACATTGTGCAGACTACAAATCATATCTTCTACATTGATGTGTCTGCACAATTATATGCACAATAATAATTCCTTAAAGAATCTCAACAGGTTGATGATTTGCAGTCTGGAGTTAAGAGATATTTAGACATTCCATTCTTAAGAAATTCAGTGTTGCACCAGCTGTTAGTATGTAGAGGAAACAGAAAAAGAGAAGTGTTTCAAGATTTTTTAAAAAAATAGGATTGAAAAAAGAGCATTTGGATCAGTAATTTATTCTGCTCAGCTAAGCCTTGATAGCGAATAACGCTTCTTTACTATTTCATAGCTGACATTACATTGATGCTTGTAATATCGTCCTGAAAAACCAGCCAAAGTAGCATCAAAATCCCTACAAACAAAACAGATTTTTAAAAATTACTTCCAAGCACTAGGATCAGCCTGTACATAAAGTGAAATATGATTGTTCCAGAGCTATATTCTGTAATTATTTTCAGCATTTTATAATTGTTTTGCAACAGACAACATTTCTGAACAAGTAGCAAAATTGTAGTGGAGTTTTGATGCAAGGACTGTATTTTCGTACATTTCATGTATAACCAGAATATGGGAAAATGTTGGGGCTATAGCCAATCTCTTTTTTAAGCTACATGCTCTCTTGGGCTGCAAAATGTGCACTGTGGCATTGATTTATGACCCTCCAGATGCATTTCATCCCAACTGTCATCAGATTTAGTTAATAGCCTCAGAAGTAAAATATAACAAGAACTACAGTCCAATATTATTGTTGACCCCCGCATTATGGCTATAGCAGGGATCTCTTCAATCCCCCACACACCTTGAAAATCATCAGAGCATATGAGTGACTGGTGTTTAATGCCTCTTCAGACACTGGGTTTCAAATTTGGGACAAAGTAATAAATACTAAATGCATCAATATTATGTTAAAATCTTTATTAGCCCTTTAAGGCAACTTAGTTTTCACACATGTTTTGTATTCACTTAGGCTGAATTTGTCAGTGGAGCTACTAGAAATAAGTTATATTACAGATTGTAGGCTTATTCCCAGGAAGCATATAGGTAGTCTTTAAATTAAGGCCATAATTGTGACTGGACCTATTGTTACTAAGCAATGTGGTCATTAAATGAGTCATCCTGTGACCGCACCAATTTTTATAGCAATAGCAATAGCAGTTAGACTTATATACCGCTTCATAGGGCTTTCAGCCCTCTCTAAGTGGTTTACAGAGTCAGCATATCGCCCC